CAGTGCACTAGTTCGCTAACGTTGTCCGTGTCAACAGGAGTGACAGTCCGCACACACACAAGACCGCAATTATGGCAGAAGCAAAACATATATAATTTTAACTCCGAGTGGGAGGATGATTATTTTTGTATCTATTCCAATTCAAAGTGCATCTGTCTCATCTGCAATACGAGCGTGGCTTTATCGAAGAAGGGTCATTTAGGAGCGGCATTTCAAAACAGTGCACAAACGCTACGAGACGGAATTCCCTCCTGATTCTGCCCTACGCTCCAAAAGGTGAGGGGCCTGAAAGGACAGCTAAATGCACAGCAGTCCATTTTCACCAGGCCCAACAACAAGAGCAAGGCTGCTACCATAGAATCTTATCGTGCCAGTCACGTTCTTGCGAAACACATGAAGTCTTTCAAAGACGGCGAAGTTGTGAAAGAAGCATTCCTGGAGGCTGCCGATGCGTAATAAAAATAACAGAAGCATTTCAACAGGTTTTTGATATGATAAAAACTCAAGTTAGATATCGTTATTAATCAGCTGTAAGTTTGAGTTTGTTTGAACTTATTCATTATAATTATTGTACAAAATGGTATAAGAATGCAAACTTAAATTGATTATAGTCCATTATCAATTCAGGTTAAGAAACTAGTGTTGCTTGCATCCTATTTTAAAGGCATTTATTTTTATAATCTACTAAAATGCAACAAAAAAGGGTTTGATTCTATTAATGTTGTCTTTTGTATTGCACTGTTGCAGCAGATTCCTGTGTAGCTTCAGATCTGATCTTATTAGTAAGCCTCATTTATACTTTTGTAGCAACACTATCTTTATATAATGGCAAAGAAAGGGTTCAGAGTCTTTTCTTTTTTTCCTGTGTCATATGTGGCAGCACTGTTCAATGTTTCTTGAATACATTACCCACTTATAACAACACTGTTGTGTAACTTCAGTTCAATACTTGTATGTGTGTAGATTAGAAAGAGGTAAGATAAAGGATCTGCAGTGTTTTATGAAGTATTCATCGTACAAAGGTCAGTTTTATACAAGTAGAAGTGTGTATTTACCTGGTTGTAGAATGTCAGTAATGGCTACGCCTCTCTATTTGGACTGGTAGATCTCGGCAGACTGGAAACTTTAAAAGTAGCTCTCGGTTCAAAAAAGGTTGGGCACCCCTGGTGTAGATAGTTACAGATTTGCCTTTTGCAAAAGTGCAGGCCTCAGTGAGTGCTACGAGCTCTGCTGCCTGTGCTGAGAGGTGACAAGGGAGTGGTCAGGAACAGAGGACAGCAGAATCTGAAACAACAGAGAAACCCACCCGATTAGTACCCACAGGGTCGCGAGAGGCGGACCCATCAACATACAAAAACATCGGGGTTGGGCAGGGGTGCATCTTTTAAGTCAGGTCTGGGAGATACATACAATAAGAAGCTCTGCAACACAGTCGTGTTTGTCACTGTTTTCTGGGAGAGCCATAAGAGATGCTGGGTTCAGAGTGATACATCGTTTGACTTCTACATTAGCAGGCATGTGTGATACCTAAGATGACGTGCAGCAGAGAGGTGTGATGTTCTCTGTTCACAGAGGATGAGAGAAACAGCATGTGGAACCAACAGTGTCAAAGGTGCATAATCTACAATGTCACGTGCTTTTTCAGCTGCAGCAACTGCACAGAGACATTTTGGGAGGCCAGCAGCTACAGGGTCTAGCTTGGAGGAGAAATAGGCAACAGGCCTCTGTTTTCCCCCATGATCTTGAAGGAGAACTGAGGTCATACACCCATCGCGTTCATCCACTGCCTGTGTAAAAGGCTTGGTAGGATCAGGTAGACCTAGCGTCGGAGGGGATTGGAGAGCCAGCTTCATGTTAATGAAGGCTTTGTCGGCTTCTGATGTCCATATAAGGCGATCTGCAGGTTTCAAACCGGTGACATGCGTGATTGTACGGAGTGGCTGTTCGAGCGGAGAATAGTTAGGAATGAATGACCTGCAGTACGAACACATACCCCAAAATGACATCATCTGTCGCGTAGTGACAGGTTTTGGCAGAGCAGCCAATGATGCAATACGCTTATCTGAAAGCGTTTTTCCCTCCCCTGAAATGATGTGACCCAAAAATGTAACGTATGTTTTTTGTACATATTGGAATTTAGACAAACTGGCCTTGTGGCCCTCGGCTGCGAGGTGTTTTAACAAAGCAATGGTGTCGGCTTCACATTGTTCAGCTGTGGGCGCGCAAATCATAAGATCATCAACATACTGTATGAGTGCGGTGCCTTTAGAAACTTGTAGAGAGGCCAAACTTGTACACAACGCTTGGTTGTACACAGTGGGAGATTCGCAGTAGCCTTGACACAAACGTGTGAATGTGTACGGCTTACCATCATATTCAAATGCGAACCAAAATTGACTGTCTTTGTGTACAGGGACACTGAAAAATGCATTTGAGAGGTCTATAACAGTGAAAAATGCTGCAGAGGCGGGAACTTGAGAGAGAATGAGATAAGGATTTGGAACGAGCGGCGCGCGTGCATGTACGGCTTCATTTACAGCTCGTAAATCCTGCACAAATTTCCATTCGTCAGGGGGTTTGTCACAGATCTTTTTAACCGGAAAAACAGGAGTGTGGACTGGAGAATCATTACATCCAATAATTACCCCTTGTTTAAGCAGGTCGAATGCCATCAATGGCTTCACGTTTTAATGGGTACTGGGGTTGGTTGGGATGGTACGTAGACTTTGGAGTGATTACAACAGGTTCAGCAGAGCGGATTAAACCTACGTCATATTTGTGAGCTGCCCAGAGTGAGTGTGGCACATCTGAAGCGTGGCAGGAAGCTCAGAAATATGAGAATATCCCGTAAAGGTGTCATCATCCTCAACCAATACCAGTGTACGCAGGACATATATTTGAGTGTGGACTTCAGTTTTGAATACGTCATGTGACATCTACATAACCTGAGGTGTGTGTGTGTTGGCGCCAAATCAGTGACTGACTCCCATTCTTTAACGAGTGGACCCAAATCCCTCCATCTATCAGTGGGGCCCCTGGCTAGTAAAATGTGTGGGATTTGATACAACTTGTGTTGTGCGGGTGTGACAGAAATAGCGCTGCGCAGGGAGCTCCAATACATTGTTTCAAGCATGATGTTATCATTTACACATTCCAACAGAAAACCCTCTTCAAAATATTTGTCCGGACTATCTGTTACATGTGCAGTACAGTGTAAGTGATGAGAATCCATGAACACAGCTTGTGAGGGGACATTTTGACATGCCAAATGCAGCAGTTCCTGTGATACGGGAAATGCAGCAAGCCATCGGCACACAGACAGTAGATTGTCATCAAAACTTAGTTTTTGATCCATCGTTGGAGATGGGCGCTTGACTTGTAAACCCTCATTTGTAGAAATAAGGTAGAGGCCAAAGCGAAGAACAAGGTCTCTGCCCAATAAATGACAGATGATAGCAGAAAACTATGTTTTACTGTTGTGGGGAATGGGTGGATGTCATCGCCATTATCCCTGCACTGAACCGGTACTGCAAATGTCTCCTTCACAGTTACACCTGCGGCTCCCATAGTATTTACAAATCTACCGCTGAGTTTACAATTTGGCAAATTTGCCTTTTTGATAACTGAATGAGTGGCCCCTGAGTCAACCAGAAAAGTTAAATCAGTGCCCATAATTGTCAGTGTGAGTGTAGGACATTTCTTAAATGAGGCTTCGTCATAATTTACATATGTGCTTACAGTGGGTGTAGGTGCACGCTCTATTCTCTCAATAGCTTTCATTTCATTTCAAACCTTTATTTATCCAGATTGTCCCTTGAGATCATAGATCTCTTTTTCAAGGGAGACCTGCATAATATGTGTGTGTGATTTATAGAGGACTGTTGCTGTGCAGACAAAGAGAGATAACACTTTCTGCTGACTGTTATCTTGCATTGTTATTTTGAGGAACAATAACTGTACTGTTCAAATGTGACCTTGGCAGGAAGCATCTGGGTGAACAACAAGTCGAACAAAGAGACATGTACTGAATACAGTTTTCATCATATAAGCGTTGCATTTGGTTTTACCATATAAAGTAATATAAGAAATTGCCACTACAGTTGACTTAGATTTCTTTAGTTTGGGGAAACTCAATCACGTAGATGCTTTATTTCATAGCAGACGTGTTTACTTTACATAATAGGAAACACAGGTGTTGGTGTCAATATGTCAGCTGTACACATGCATGCTCAAATAGAAAAACTGCCAGTTAAATACAGCAGATATTTGTTTTACTGTTTAAAATAACACCTGAGCTTTCTGCGCAATGACATGCTGAAAGGCCTAGTATGAGAAGGCCTGTTGTGCTTATTCAAAAGCCTTGGGTATATTTGTTCATGTGACTGAATTTAATCAAAGATTTACTTCAAAGTCTACTTTGATGTGACTTTATACAAAAGTTTGAAATATATGATTAAACGTACTAAACTTAGTTGACAATCAACACCTTCAAATATAGTTTTTCTTGCAATCACTGAGTATTGGCTGTTTTTCTTCGTACAGAAAACGTTTTCTTTGTAGTAGAACGGGTGTGACTGAGGTGCGCTGATTTCAGCATCCTAAAGGATGTACATTCTCAGGAAATGTGAATGATGGGGCTGAATTTGGCAGACTGTGGTTGCAGGCTGTTTGTGTGGATCTGAACCAGAGAGGAAAAACCGATGTAGTGATAAAAATATCTTTCTCCATCTCTTACTCCCCTGGGGCGGGCTGCCTCCCCGGGCTTTCATCCGGTAGCCTGGAGGGAGAGAGAGAGAAATTAAACATAATGTGTGTCAAGGAAGAGAGAGAACTAGAACAGATAAAATGTGGGATGGACGTCATCCAGCCACAGAGTATCTCTGTTGGGGCTAAAGAAGGATGAGAGAGCAATGCATTCTCTTTCTCTCTTTCTCTGGCCCCCACCCCTCACTAATTTCCTCTCATCTCCACTGCTTTTGTGCCCCTATATAACCCCTGACACAGACCCTCTCCCCATCATACTTACAGCATGTTTGGTGGATAGGAAAACAGCAGGTCAGCCTGATACAGAGATATTTGTTATTTATAAACTATATTAGTTTTTCTCTCCAGCTGTGTTGACACAAAAACCAAGACAGACAAACTTCAGAGTTGTGATTTGAAGTCGTACAGGATTGTCAAACAGTAGTCAGGTGAACATGACGGCCCTATCAGCTCTCATCCTAAAGATGGCCTTTCTGCTGCTGCCTCTGCTGCACTGCACAGGTACGATTTGTAAATAACTCAAGGTTTTGTAAAGATACGGTTTAATACACACTGCATGGCTGAAATATGTTATTTTGAGCAAGGTATGTGTTGTATAGTGTAATGAGGAAATACATTAGGCAATAATCAATGTATATGTGTCTGTATACAACTAAAAAGCATGTTTCAGTTGGATCCTGCCTGTTAAAACAGTTAGAAAAAACGTTTTCTACATTTAAAAGTGACATCTATTTTACTGCTCTATGTAACTTAAAATATAATATTGTGTTATAATATTTTTTGTCACAACTATTCAATAAAGAACTTAAGTATGTGGATCATAAATCATTAACTTAATTGAAAGTCTCCCATAGAACAAGAAGCAGGATCACATATTGGTTTATAAATGCCTTTTGGAAAGAGCAGAAACAGGTGCAAAGTATTTATTCTCCTCTAGATGCAAAGATGGACATCATCACGAGTAAGCAAGATGTTCTGTTGGGAGAAGAGATCTTACTGCTTTGTAAAGGTGAGCCTTTTTATTTTCATGTGATCACAAATCAATCTAGATGAAATTAAGCATTTATATTCACTCTGTCTTTTCCTTCTTTCCCTCCTGAAGCTGGGGCAGAGGGAGAAATAATGTGGCTCAAGGATGGGGAAGAAATTGTTGATGAAGAGAAGGTGACAAAGCAGGATGAGACTTCTTCTAAACTGCGCATTAAGAATGCAACGATGCAGGATGTGGGCAAATATAGCTGTGTGTGTGACTTTGACAGTGGATACCAAGATGACGTTTTTACACAGCTGTATGTTTATGGTAAGTACAAATCAGCACTTGATGAACTTGTCTAGAAATGAGTAATATTCATTTAATAACAAACTCATTTTTTCCCTTTACTGCAGAAAGTAAGCATCCTTACCTTCTACTTTTTTCTTAGAGGGTCCATCATTTGGAAGCACAAACACCTACAGTACCATGAATTTCTGGAGGGCACAGATGGCATTATGCCATGCCTGGTGATGGGCCAGCCAGCCGTGGATGTGCACTGGCTCAGAGACGGAGAGGAAATCTCCTCGAATGGTAGGATCCTTCCAAAAATATTTCCACATTTTCTCAACTTGCTAAGCTTATACTGTAAACAAATTAATTGGTGAAAATAAGACTGGGAAACTAAAACAGCATTGCTGAATATTGGACTTTAAATATAACCCTTTTTTCTGTGTTCTTGTCTCTCGCTTCAGGAGGAAAGCGTGTGCGTCGGCTGCCTGACAACACAGTCCTGATTGAAAAAGTGAAGAGGAAGGATGCTGGGACGTATGTGTGCCGGGCCCAGATCAGAGGAAGGCCCATCTATCAGCAACTCCCTTTCTCTGTTGTCGTCAATGGTGGGTATCTTTCACTCATAAGGATCAAGAACTTTGAAAGATAAATTATGACACAAATAGCAAATTCTTGGATGCTCAGTTTGTTAGGCACAGGCGCATGTAGTCATATTTAGATACGAGGATGCCAGGATTAGAACTATAAATGATCAAAACGTTCTATAATTTCCCTTCTGCAGCTCCTCCTTCTGTGCGTCTGAGAGAAGAGGTGAAAAAGGTTCTGGCCGGACCAGAGACCAACGTTTCCCTGCTGTGTTTGGTGGACGGTCTACCAAAACCCAACATCACCTGGAACATGTGAGTCCTGACATGGAGACATATTTTTAGTGTCACCATAAAAAGGCATATTGTGTACCCATATGTTGATGATGTGAAATGCCTTCAAGTGACCTCAAGTTTCACGACTCAGTAATGCTCATTTTCAGCAAGCATTCAAATTGTAGTGCATTACTTTACTCGATTTCAGTTGAATAACATGTTTTTAATATATTTTGGGTTAGTTTTAAAGGGCAGACCCTTCAGGTGAAAAGGGGGAAATATTGTATTTATATATATTATAATTTTTTTTGTTGTATTGCAAGTTTATCAAATTACTATAAGTGAGACATTATTTCATTATTACACTGGAGGAAATAAAGAGAAATCAACAGATGCAAACAGACAAAGTGTAATAAAATAAACACGTAGATGTGGTTTTTTTTAATGTTTTATGTCCACTTGTCTGGGAGAAGAACTCGATTTTGACCATTATATGAATTGGTAGTGTCTTTCCATGATTACAACTTGGTTTCGGACAATCTACAATCAGCATTGTCATTATGTCTTTTAGTGTGTGTGTGTGTGTGTGTGTGTGTGTGTGTGTGTGTGTGTGTGTGTGTGTGTGTGTGTGTGTGTGTGTGTGTGTGTGTGTGTGTGTGTGTGTGTGTGTGTGTGTGTCTCCCTCCTCCTCCTCTGTCTTTGAATCCTTTGAATCCATATGAATAACAGCAATAGTAAGTTTGTATTGAGCTCTGCATATCCTCCTCACAGGCCGGTGACCTTTGACCCCTTACATCATCAGTTTAACTCGGACCGTATAGCCAGTTGACTATAAAGTTTGTTGCCAGGGGCGACTACGGAGAGTACATCTGCACCGCCACCAACAAGATCGCTGAGAGCACCGCTACATTCATGCTTCATGTTTATGGTCAGTTCAAGTGTAATCAATCTTTTTCTTCCCCGTTCAGCAAGTCCCTGAAACACAACAACAGCATAACCCAAAAGGGAATATATGAACCATTACGCAGCGTCCACACGGTGGCGTGCGTTGAAGCTTGCCGGTGGGCATGTCTGAAACTCGACCAACAACCAATCACATGAATCTCCCGTCCCGGACACACAAGCACGCGGTTTGATTGGCTAGAGCTTGTACTGGCATATTATTTGATTGGCTGACGCTTCCGTCGAAGCTTCAAAAGTTGAACTTTTCTCAACTTTTTTAGCTAGCAACGCGAAGCGACGGAACCACAATGCAGTTCGGCAAAGCGTGACGTTACCCCATTCAAAGTGAATGGGAAGAAGCGTTGAAGCTTCATGCCGGCGGGCTTGTCTGAAGCTCAACCAACAACCAATCACATGAATCTCCCGCCCCAGACACACAAGCACGCGGTTTGATTGGCTAGAGCTTGTACTGGCATATGATTCGATTGGCTGACGCTTCCGTCGAAGCTTCAAAAGTTGAACATTGCTCTACTTTTGAAGCGAGCAACGCGAGCAAAGCCACAATGCAGTTCGGCAAAGCGTGACGTCACCCCATTCAAAGTGAATGGGCAGAAGCGTTGAAGCTTCAAGGGGCCGTTGAACATGCTGCATTTAACCCATGATGACATGTTTACGTCATGCATTATGTACTATAATGACACTTGATGTTTTATTTCAGAGGCCCCAGAGGTGTTTGTGTCAGCAGAGCAGCAGAGTGTGTCAGTGGGCGAGCGTGTGTCTGTGTCCTGTAACGTCTCCGGTCATCCTCAGCCTGAGCTGCACTGGCTCAACAAGCAAAATGGACGCACACTGGTAAGATCTGAGGAATCTGTATACAACAAACAGTATCATAATACAGGGGTTGTGATTCCGTATTCTGATACTGTAAGCAATGCAATATACAAACCCCTGCACTCTCCATCTAACATCTAACATCATAGCACTACTTATACAAACTCAGCCACTGTTTATCACAATTCTTTGCATGTAAATAATCTTAACGCTGAAGTGTACATTTTCTTACACCCGTTGGTAGAAGTTTATGGATCCATGCATCATCTGCCCGCTCTACATTTGCCACAGTAACCAAAGCCCATGTCAATCAATCTGGCATAGCAAGTTTTGATCAACCCATTAATCATGTGCTTGTAGACTGGCACTCTATACTTCTATCTAACTCACTGACATATTTGCTGCGTGTTGACTTTAAACACTTATACACACTAATAGTACTTGGTACCATATCTGATTGCATATTTCCCTGTGTGCCTCCCTCCGGCAGGACTCTGGCTCTGGTCATGTCCGTGTTGAAGATGGTGCGTTGGTGATTGATGAGGTAGTGCCCTCTGATGGTGGACTGTATTCCTGCATGGCTGTCAGCAACTCGGGAAACGCATCGAGAGACATTGCAATATACAGTAAGAGTTTATGTTCTCAATATATAGAATGAAGGAAAAGCAAGTTGAATCTCTACTTATAAGCAACCATCTGACTCACCTCCCTCCTGCCTCCTGATTCACAGCCCAGCCCGGTCCTCCTCACTACCTGTCAGTCTCACCTGGACCCACCTCAGTCCTCTTCTCCCTCAAAAGCCCCCTCGACATGGGCAGATTATTAGACACAGGCCCCTATGCCCAGACATGTAAATGCCTTCTCTTACATAGAAGCAAAACATGCCTTGTGTGTTGTGTCACTTTGTGGCTGTTTGATTTTCTTTTTCTTTTTTTTAATCAATTTGAGTTTTTTGGAAGTTGTTGTGCTTCTCTTTATTCATTGTGAGTCTCTTTGAAGTAATTTTGAGCCTCTTGGTCACATTTTGAGTCTATTTTTAGGTGTCTCTTTGTAGTAATATAAGGTGTTAGTTTACCTTTTGCAGTTGTTTTATGTTCCTCATGCTCTTTAGTGTCTCTTCCTAGTGACGTATCTCTTTGAGTGACATTTTTCAGCTGAAAGCCATGGGGTGGCCAGCTTGTTTTGGTTCCATCCATGCCTGTTAACCAGGAAATGTAGCCTAAAGCTAACCTGGGGGTGGTGGCAAAATGAGTTCTCAGATTGACTTTGTTCTCTCTCCTTCCAGCCAAAGTGAGCAGCATGACAAAAGGCACCGTGTTTGGCATTGTCATGGTGATCTTCCTGGTTGTATTCCTGGTGGTGGACGCCACCTGCTGCTACAGAAACCGCTGCGGCCTGCTTATGTCCATCTCTACGAAACTGTTTGGACAGAAGGTCCCAGGCCTCAAAATGCTTGAAGAAGGAGAGGGAACCACTAATGGGTGAGTTTGTATTGGTATATTCATTTATCTGTTATCATGTTCACATAATAGCACTTTGTGTGGTTGTCCGTCATCAAGTTATTACATATGAAATCTTTGTGTGGCTGCAGAGAAGTGAAGCTGAATGGCTTATCCACTCCGAGAGGCAGTGTGCAAAATGCGGGGGTGCAGACATTCCCTAAGGAGGGGGGGGGGGGGGCGCTGCCAGACATCACCTGCGACAAAGCCTCCCTTACCAAACACGAGTATGTTCATTCACTCCCCTATACAGCAAACACGCTGCCATGAATGTTTTCCAAAGGCAGTGCCTGCGCCCATCCCCAATATGCAGAGCTGATGGCTGGAATTCATAATTTAAAAAAGCAGTTGAAAATAATAAGTTATTAAAGCTTTTGAAATACTTACTCTGGCAACAACAGTATTTGACTTGAATAAAATAATTAAACTCTGGCAATTGCTGCTTAATTAGGCGTAGAAGTAAAGCAAATAATTGATGTTCTTTACACTTGCATGTTTTATGCAAATATCTAATTTGTGAATTATTTCTTTTTCACAGGAAAAAACCGCCAGGATCAGACACTGCCGATGCATGAGGCCAGATTTCGGAAGAAAAAATAAATGAAATAAATAAAAGTGTGAATAATTTATAGACCCAAAAAAAAGATCAATACAAAACAAGTCTTCACTGACAGACTGGAGGGGAAATCCTGATTGTTGAGGTTTGTTAACACTTGGTGGTTTCACACATCTGTGCTGTTAAAGTGAGACGACAGCTGGTTAACTATCTCTTAAAGTTAAAACTAAAACTGACACAGACTTCATGCGGGAGGTGCCCTTTGTTGTTGTTGTTGTTGTTGTTGTTGTTGTTGTTGTTGTTGTTGTTCTGTGTACTTTGAATTATATTAGGAAAAAGGAAAAGTTCATTTACAGGGTAATCGTGATGTCTGTGTTTTACAGGGTAAAATGATTTGTGTTAGAAAAAATGAAACATTTTCTAAAAGTCACAATCAATGTTTACCTTCAACATTTTAAATGTTGCACACTGACAGATGGTCTCATTTTATTTCTACTCAAATGCATAGAAAATAGGTTTTATATGTTAATGATGCTTTTTATATCTTTATTTTCTTAACTATTTTATTTACATGCATCGTGGCGGCTCTTCTGATATAAATGTAAGCATTATACATCTTGTTCTTTTAGATTAAATAACACTGTTTATTCTGATACTGACATGTATTTTCAGCTTGAACTAAACATATATTACCTTTATGTAATCATCAAGCACTAATATGTATTGTTTTAAACCGTAAATGAGAGATATTTATCATGAGAGGCTTTAAACTGAAGCCATATTTGACTTAACCAGATTTACAAAGCATTTTTTGTGTGGAAGAACTTGTATAAATGGTTGGCAACTACCACTAGAAAGGACTTGTACTATACATTTATTAATTAAATATTTTTGGAAATATCCATTTTAAAGTAATAATAGGCAGCATGTCAAACGTATACACAAAACACATATATATTCACTTAGTGAAGCTCTAAGGTATTTTGGACTTGTATATTCATATGTACAGTAAACAAATATTCAAAGGAAAATTGTCAAAAATTGAACCTGCAGCTTTAAAAAAAAGAAAAAAGATACTTTGATATAAGTGACCTGGCCATTTTAATGACGTGTTTTGATCCTGTTGTAATATTGCAGTGATCACTATCTATATAGTGATCTATATGTATATAGGCCTATTGCTGTAGATACACATGTTGTTACATCTTTGTGATTCATAAAAACCTGGACTGTAGAAAAGATTCATGTCTTTCTGTGCTCACCAAAATGAATGTTTGTTTTCTCATTTTACTAGCATTCTTAGTTTGACTTTACAGTTTACAAGTAGCCTACAAATGACAAGAACATACACTGTTGCCCAAAACCCTTTCCAATTACACAATAAAATAACTTATATAACCCTACTAATTATACTTAAAATAAGATTCTCTTTATGCCATTCCTGTTTAGTAAGTTAAACTTGTTTACATGTTTAAACCTGTAATGGATCATTTTTTGGATCTAAAACTTAATTCACTACTGTTGGCTTGTGTCAGAATGAAACCTGGTTTAAAGGTACTTGTTGATACACAGAGAAATGAGAAACACACACCACGAGACAAATAACTTGATTACGAAGTGAAGCCATGCATAATAGTCTCCATAAGGGAGTTCTCACTCTACTAAAGCAGACTAGATCATGGTTTGTAGGTTGAATAGCAGCTCTATGTGCTTCAGTTCTATGACTCTCTGACCACGCCCCCTGCCTGATGCGCTCGTGCTGTCCACAAGCACATGACCAGGCATGTTTACACCTCACCTGCACTGACAGACAGGCACACAGCGACCACACTGACTGGGAAAACCTATTGTTTCAAACCGAGAGAAGAAGCAGTCGTCAGAGGTAATTATTCAGCCGACGTTTACTAAGACTTGGTAAGTTATCCTAATTAGCAAAGCTCTTGTTTTCCTTCATTCTGCGGTGTGAAGACGCTGTCTTCCGTAGCAACAGATGCTAGGTTAGCATGCTAACAAGTCTGCAGCATCATCTCTCAATGAGGTTAAAGACGCATAAACAATTATAACACAAGCTACAAAAGACATGACGTCAAGAATATACTTGGACAATAATGAGAGCCGTTTTCTTTCAATGTCAGCCTCATATAGCTTTGTATTAATAATATGTTGTTTTCTACTTCGTACTGGTTAGTGGCTAAGGAGGTGGCGTAGACAGGTAACTAAAGCGTAGACAGCTGAAAGGATAGTGAGATGTTAAAGCATATTCAGTTCATCCAGATATACTTCGATAGATGTTGGTCAACGACAAACATGTGCTTTAGTGAAGCTATTATTTATCAGCTCTAAACCATCTTCTTCTTGTTGTCTGCTGTCATTAGTCAACCTGCTTTTTGGTGTCACACATGACGATGAGAGAAAACCAAAAGTTGTGTCAGAAAGCACCAGTGCCATGACGTTGTAGCAACACAAAAATCAGATATTATAGATAAATATATCACTGACTATACATGTTTAATTTGCTCCTAACAGGAGAAGATTAACATTTCAAGGGGTCCAGTAAAAATAAAAATAAGAACATGGCGGCCTGCAAAACCACTGAAAGGGTCAAATTAATTAATATATTTACTTAGTATCTACATATCGTATTATGTTCCTTAGCTCCACGCAGCCTCTGCCCATCTGTATCCCAGGAGGGAAGCTACATCCTCGGCTACAGGAAGCCATCCCTCTGGCTGTACATCATGGAGGACACAGATGTGGAACGTGAGCTCTTTTTTCCCGATTTGTATGATCTCCGCCTCTATTCATCTACAGTTGTGAATTTGCTCTGATTGTTCTAAACCATGCATATTGTTCTCAGGTTGCCCTAGGTTTTGCGGCACTGGTGTCTCAAACTGTTTTCTAGCCATTTTGTTTAGGGCCTCTCTTTCTTGTGTTTTACATTTGAATCTCCATACTCATCATTCTGTTGTTTTCCCCTCTAGAGGTGACCCTGGCTCTTCTAGACGCGGCCACTGATAAAGACTCAGAGGTCCAGGAGCAGGTCAGGAAGTCCATGTTGACCCTGGGAAAACAGCAGCCAGACAGAGTGTTAGCCATGTGCCAGGACTACTTGCTGAAACACCCTAAGGTAAATCCCCAGGAAACAGCTCTATCCCACTACTTCTACTGTGTGTGTCTAAGAAACCATACCGTGGTAACCAGTGGACATAATTATCAGAACACACTCTTGTAGCCCTTGCCAAAAGAGCCAGATTGGCATGACTGCTATACATGAGCATGCTTTTACTACCATTTACTCTCCTTTAGTTCTGGTATTGCCATTAGTGTCAGGTCAACACCATCTGGGAACTTCTCAACAGTTAAAGTGCTCTTTTGCTGTGACTGCAGTCTGTAACCCCAGTGTACAGATTAGAAGCTACAGGGGGTGAACACCATTAACTTCTATGATGGAATTCTCTGTGTTTTGATTGAATTTTGGTCATGTCATTTTGGACCCCCTGTTGTACTGCTAATCTGTGGAATCTGGTCATACCTAAAGGGCCTCTAGCATGTGGTTTTGGTTTCCCACACATGCAAGATGTAAACTTGTGTGTATTTGTGGTGCATTTCTGTCACAGAGAGAATCAGATTTTCCGCTTGAGGTTTGACTAATGAGAGTCAAGCAGCATAAATCACTATTGATGTACATTTTCGATTCATTATCTTGATATATCAATCACTAATCCTGACTGCTTTTCTGTTTTGTTTCTTTTTGGTTTTCTTTGTTTGTCTACCCTCCCTCCCAAATGTAAAGCGTCTTTGGGTTCAAGAAAAGCGCTATAGAAATATAATTTATTATTAATTGGTCTATGAATGATGGAACATAATGAAACTGTTTCACCAACTGTCCAAAAACAGCAATATTTCAGAATTACTTAAATGATGAATTGTACAAATATTCAAAATAGCTTTCTGCCAATTGAGCTTAAACTTGAGTCTTAATGTTACAAGTCTTTAATCCACTGGAGTTTCCAAAAAACATACACATTTTTCTTTTTAAATATGTTTTGTCAACATAATTTCCAGAAGCTGTACTATAATACAATTCAGATATTGTATGACAAATATTGCTCAATTCTTCCTCTAACCTGCTTAGATTTGACCTGCATGGGCCTATAGAAAAAAAGGTTAATTTCCTGGTCCTTATTTTATATTTGTAACACATTAGCTCCTAATAAATGTCCCAATAGAGCTCTGAATCAGCTTGTATCTTATCATACAGTCTCAGCCCATGACTGTGATTACAGATGATACACTGGGGAAATATGTAGGGAAACATCAGTGACACTGCACAACGAATGTCCTTTTTCATTGAGAAGTTGTTGAATATTGTGTATTATATTTAGCCTACGTTGCAGTCAGTTGAATACATTGAACTTGACATTATTACTTCTCAGTTTTGTTTTAAAACAGATATTTCCTTTATTTGCTTCTCTTGTTGTCTCTCCTTTCTTCTCCTCGCCTCTTTGTAGTTGGTGGTGAGCCACAGAGTTGTGATTCTTCAGACTATTGAGCTGATTGTGGGCTGCAGGATAGAGGAGATCAGTAACCCCAGGATCAAGAGTATCATCTCTCTGGCCTCAGATGAGATGACACGATCAAAGGTCAAATGTCAGATTTAAATGTTTTCTTGTTTTTTTTTGTTTAATCCAGAGTGAAGATGATGAGCTATGTTCCTTAATGTTTTTTCTGCCTTTCTGTTTCCCTCAGGAGGTCATCCCTGATTGGCAGCAGGCAGCCAGTAATATTTTGGTCGCTGTGGGCAACAAGCACATCAATGACATCATGGAGGAGATACTAAGTAAGTTTCAGCCGGGGCTCCTTCCTCACTTCTTCGTGGTCAAGACACTAGCCAACCTTTCAGATTCCAACGGTAAGAATATATTTACTTAAGGAAGTTCAATCAGTTATTGAGTGATGTTGAGAAAGACACAAACATGTTAAACCTGTTTAAAACAGCTTTTATTGGACAAAATGTTTGCACACCACCAGATTTTATTTGTTTAGAAGCACACAACATTGGTCCCATACGACATCTACTGCTTCTGCGTCCTTTACACATTTGTATGCATGTCGTCTTTATTCTAAATGTGCATTTACTGTGATGTAAAACCAGCGTTCAGTTATTATGCTCCAAAATGCAGATCTCCTGCAACTCTTGCTTATTTTAAATCAGGGCTATATAAATAAACTTGCCTGGCTTTGCCTTTAATATTGGAAAATATATATATACTATACAGTAGGGATGGGAACGATTAATCGAATATTCGAAATTATTCGGGTATTCGAATAATTATTCATGTATTCGAATATGAGTTATGAATATTTTTATACATTTTTTGTTTTTGGGAGTGATGCCTAAGTTGATTACATATTATCAAATTGAATAATTCAATGTATGTATATATATATATATATATATATATATATATATATATATATATATATATATATATATATATATATACGACAGTGCCATAGTTTTGCTCCGCTCACCGGTCCCTCACAGCGAGCAGAGCTGCAGGTGCTGATCTCTCTCTCTCGCGTCCGGTTATACTTCACTCGCGTTTATGTCCAAATCCATCAGATCTAGCTAGTTCTAGCCAGGCTCTGGTTCTAGCCAATGATATGGCTGCTGCCCCTCCCTACACGCAGATCACGCAGACTCAAACCTCATCTTAGGCCCAAATGCGCTCCGCAGCCGTTGCGAGGTTCCGGCGCTAACGGTTCATGAGCGTGCACCCCCGCCCCCTGTCAACACTCGCGACACATGAGTGGCCAGCCTAAACAACAATAAGCGCTGCTTGGCAACCGTGTGTGGCGGAAAAGTACATAGACATTTTGACTGGAGAGATTTAGTTTTGCCGGTATTCAACATATTTTACCAGTCATAGTCCGGTAATTATTTACACTCTAGAAGAGTCCTACACAACAGACATGGCGTCAAAAAGGAGTAATGTGTGGAAATATTTCGACCAGGTTAGTGAGTGCGGTGTAGAGGTCAAACTATGCCAAATTAAACTTATATACTATAGCCTACCTTGTTATACCCGCAACCTCCGTTCCAGCTGAGATGGTCTTCTCTACAGCTGGGCTGATTGTGAATCGCCTCCACACATGAAAGCTGTAGGACTATAGCTGTCAAACTGTGATCACCAGTTCAATACATTTGACAAATTAGACTTGGTTTCTACACTTATTTGAACATGTATTTATTTATTTATTCCCAAAAGTTATTGAAAAGAAATTGGGTAAAAAAAAAAAAGATTCTGAAAAATGTTCTGAATTGTTTGTATAGGATATGTACATTTCGGTTAACCGGTTAACCGTTTTTTGGGGGGTCGAATATTCGAATATACATTTGCTTTCAAATTCCCATCCCTACTATACAGTATATAATAGATATCAAATCATGACTCCTTATGAACATTCTAAATGCTCAATATGAAATGACTTGTATCAGTGGCTGCTTCTGAGTAGCTGTCCTTGTAGTTCTTTGTGTCAACTGAATTAAGATTTATGTTGACTTTTTAGAGGAATTAGCTAGAGTAACTCTAAATCAATGACCGATACAGAGTTCCCTCCATGCTTTTCTGTTAACAATTGGTACAATTTCTCCTAGCACGGAGGAAGTGAGAGCTAATAAGGTCTCATTTATGCTGTATTCTTCCTTGTTCTCTAGTTTATGGAATGGTACCCTTCCTCAATGCTATTCTGGGCACCATGCTGCCAATGCTGAGCATGGCCAAACAGGACAACATGAAGTGGGTCTTCTCTTCAGGTAAGAACCTCCCTACAGGCTTTTATCAAGTCTTCATAAATGTTGAATAATATAATATCCTTCTCCTAAAACACTTCACATGGTTTTTCCCCTCTCCTAATTTCCCTTTCCCTCTGTTTGTTTCTGCAGCTCTGTGTCACTTCAGCGACAGTATCTTGGAGTACCTCGCCAACCTGGACAAAGCTCCAGATCCCACAGTCAGGAAGGACACATTCTCCAGTGAAATCTATGCTGCTTTCGACATCCTCTTCAATAACTGGTTACAAAGCAGGGAGTCAAAGGTGAGCTCCCTGTAGAAAAACATTGTCTATTATCTTTTGAGCTTCATGATTTCTTCTTCACCTTTTTCCATGGCTTCCCTTTTTATGTATTCCCTATTCACACAGTTCTAGTAAAGGTTACTATTTAGTGAATCTGTCACATCATCTCTGTAACGCCTGTCACCTGACTTCCTGTCTCTGTGTTCCAGTTGAGGTGGACAGTAGCGGAGGCGGTGGGCTCTATGAGCCATCTCATGGCCAGTGATAAACTGGAGGAGCAGATTCCTAAACTCATTCCTGCCATCCTGTCCCTGTACAAGAAAAACAACGAGCACTATATCATTAGCAAGGTGGGTTTGTAGTGCAGTGCATTTTGTTTCATGGCCATCATTCACAACTGTCTCCTGACTTTTATGGGCATTCATTCTTTATTTCTGTCAATTAAACTTTGTTTCACTTCTTTATTCTGCCTCTTAGAGTCTGTGCCAAGTTCTGGATGCTTCGGTCAGCATGAGCAGCAGAGTGCTGGAGACACAACTGGACAGTTTGCTCTTTGCCCTGCATCAACAGGTACACACATACTAAATCAAACAATGCAGCACATCACAGACACATGACACAGACGCTCATAAAAAGGGGACAATTTGCAGAAATCATACTTGTAAAGATGTTCTGCTGTTCTCATATATATATATATACCTCCAATTGTCCAATTCTAGATGGGCTAGTAGCATACAGTATATTGTGTCTGGGTTCCTTTACTAACGTTTTGGATAGCCTATTGGGGTGTAGGATATCTCCATTATGTCATATGATGTGAATAAATGAATTGAACTGAATCCACACCAGGTACCGTTGGTCAGACCATCAAGCTCAGCTAATGCATTTCTTGGAGACCTAATGTGAAACGTTTGAAATGGTTAATAACTAACAAAAAAAACGGAAGTGAGAGTGCTCAATAACATCCCTTGAGCAAACCACAAGCATAACATTCTTACATTAGTACATCACATCACCTTCACGTGGATCTGTGTGGTATGACCACTGTCGGTTGCTGGTTTCAATCAGCACTTTCTATCACAATACTTAAGTCTGTGTCATACTGGCTGTAATGCAGTCATTGTGCAATGTCAAAATCCTTCTGTTTACTGACAGAACGGTTCACCTCATAAATCACAACTCTGAGGCTAAGCACTGGGCACACTGTGTTTGCATCTCACTGTAGGTTCACCTTAAGCGGCTTTCTTTTTGACATGTGTCAAATGACTGTCAGGGGCGCTGCAGTCAGATGTTTGCATAACCTTGTGACTGAGCTGGCCCTATGCCTTGCTATGTCGCAACACGTTACCACAATGAGTCTTACAACCATCTGTGAGCATGATCTGGATTGTCTTGTGAGTGTTTCATCAGAATGTTACAGCAGCATAATCTTAACCACACCTACAGATATTCCTATCACACTGATCTGACTCAAAACCTTAAAACTGTTTAGCAGGTCAAAGGTATTTTCCTCATTATTATTATGACTGCTGCAAAGGTAATTGATTGAGGTAAACATCTGGCGATTACCATTGAGATGTAATAAACCTGTTCTATGTAATTATTTAGACATGTCAGAGCTCACCAGAACTTGTTTGTGGGCTCAAGTTGACACATCTCCTTTCTCCTCCCAGGTTTCTGCACCAATAGACTACAGTAACCCTCCTACTGTCAAGAACCACAACGAGGTCCTCCGCTGCTTCAGCTTACTAGGTACTGAAGCTTTCATATACAATGTGGTTCATTATTTATAAAAGAAGAGTCTGTGATGACCAGGTTAAGTGTTTGGTAATAGCTGAAGGTTGTTTGACAGCATTTCTATCTGTTTTAGTTCTATGGAGTCACAAGATCAGTAATGCGATCAGCCATTAGCCGGACTCAGCGTCCAGCACAACATAATCATATTAGCTGTGGCTGATGGTCCACTTCTCTTCCCTTCAACATCTTGCTTTTCTTGTCTCAATGGTATTTGTGTTTTGTCTTAAACTCTGTGTGAGTAAAATGTAAATTCACAAATAGAATTGAGATCAACAAATTCTTTTTGATAACACAAATAAAAACTGGACTCACGAATGCCTGATCGCAAGATGTAAATGTTGTGATTTTCAAAAATGCATTTTCATATACCTGTAATTTATTTAATGTATTTGCAGATTATCTTATTTTTACTTGGACTTTTTTTTTTTAATTGGCAAAATATTTTTCCGCATCCGTTTTTTTTTCATTTGTGGAAGGGGTTTTACATTTACAGATTACACATTGACACAAAGATTGTCAATCTGTTCACACAAACTGAGAGACAGAGACAAATAGACCTGGGGATTCCTGTGTTCCTGATTTTGTATGAATGAGAAAATTATGGGATTTTACATTTTAATCTCTTTCTTTCTAACTCCTCTCCACTCGTCTCTCCAGCAAACTCCTTCCCAGACCGGCTGGTCATGTTTGTTCTTCAGAAGTTGGAGAACAGCAATGAGCGCAGCAGGCTGGGCTCCCTGGCCGTCCTTCGTCACTTCATCAATTCCACCAGTGAGAAAACACACTTGAGACTTTCATAAACAACATTTTGCTGCACTCAAAAAATGATTTGCCTTCCTTCTTGCCGCATATACAAGGAGTTATATTCGTTGTAGAAAGTTAATTTAATTAAGAAAAAGAAACTCGTTTTTTTTCTCATTTGAATTGAGAATTTAGTTTCAGGGTAGGCCAACAGACATTCAAAGCTATATTACAAAAAAATCTCAATAGAAGTTTAGAATAAAATAAGATTCTGCACAGCCCACATGCATCCCCAACAGCTCCTATTATCCGTTACTACACACACATCACTGATTCATTTGGCATGATTAAATGAGTCATTCAGTCGTCTTCTATCATATCAAACTCATGTAGTCTACACAACCCTTATTATTTATCCGTTAATTCTTATGTAATTATTTGTGTTTGTGTCAATTGTGTTATTGCAGCTTCCACAATGGAGAATAAGAAGCTGCTGATTCTGGCCAGCATCAGACAACCAATGGCTGACCACAGCAACAAGGTAACACACATGCCGACACACACTCTCTATGTGACCATTGAATAACACTTCACAGTTTCTAACAGTTGAGTTTTCCTTTTGGTATGATTTTTGTTGAGACAATCATAAGAATGTATCTCTGTGTGTCTCAGGTGAAGAAGCGCGTGGTGCAGGTGATCAGTGCGATGGCTCATCACGGCTACCTGGAGCTGGAGGGGGGGGAGCTGCTGGTTCGATTCATCGTACAACACTGCGCCTTACCTGACACATATCAGGTACAACTTCTGTTGGATTTAACCTTAATCAGTGGATTTGTTTGAAAGTTCATATAAAGCTGAGCGTTTTATGAGAAGGTGTAGACTTACAAGGCTTACAAATCAAGTGGATCAAACTTGAAGCCTATTTACATTTCACGATAACATACTTAAGATTAGAATCTAAAACATGAATCCATCTGTGTGTCTCCAGAGAGGCCAGAAGCCCGCAGATCCAGAGGAGGTGACCAACGAGGCTCTGAGGTCGATGTGCGACAACACCCTGCACCTCCTGACCACCACTGTGGGACGACTCGCTGATGTACGTAGACTATCTATTAGGGCTGCTCAATTAATTGTATTTTAATAATTGCAATTACGATTATGGCTTGCAACGATTACGAAAACAATGTAATCGAAATATAACGATTATTTTTTTTATTATTATAAAAAAAAAAAAAATGGTATTATTAATTTGGTTTTTCAGTTGAGTTATACTTAAAGTTCAGGGTAATCAACTGTTAAAAACATACTGTTCACATTTTTTTTCTCCAATAAATTGATGTTTTCAAAGTAAATGGATAATCGTTTTTAATAATCGTGATATCAATTATTGACCCAAATAATCGAGATTATGATTTTTGCCATAATCGAGCAGCCCTATTATCTATTGCTGACGGATTCATCTGGGTTCCCAAAAAAAATGAACGACTGATGTTTGTTTCACTGTTGCATTTTTTTTTAAGCTGTAAAACAGATTATTTCAGGTTAAATTAACTGCAGTTGTTGTCCATTGTATGTGTTTAAATTAACATTGATTAGAAACTTAAAGAGCCTGTGACAGCCTCCCAACAACTGTTGTGCAATGAAATATTGGGCTACTAGTCATCTCGAACCGTCAGTTTAAAAAAGAAGTTGCGATACCGTTCCGATAAATATCAATAATTTCGAACATCGCGGGGAAATTCCTTCGACTCATTTTGAAGTTTTGGGGGAAGCCGGAAGTGACGTCAATGCGGGAACGCTTCACTGCGCGACGAGAGAGCCAAACACGGACAAAGTGTGTTGTCATGCGTAGAAATGGTGAATTACTGAGTTTAGGCACGTTAATAACGTTGTAATGAAGTTGACTACAGTATATTCATATTTGTCAGTGCTTTCATGTCAATTCGGCGAACATAAACATAAATGATCGTGGTGAAGATGATTACATTAGGATTACAAATCGGTAGTGAGAGCTGCTGAATTTCCTCCCGTCGGATGTGATATAAAAACAAATCGATTATTTTTGTAGTTGTAAACTCAAGTGGATGAAACTACATTTATTAGTGCTTTCATGTCAATTCGGCGAACATATGATACATTAAATGATCGTGAGGATGATGATTAAAAATCGTTTGTTTGTGCCGGTCTGCATTTCCTGATGAGAAAACAAACCGATGCTTTTTGTAGTTGTAGTACACCAACATGGATTAAACGTGTCGTTTTTTCACCACAATGTTGGGGAAATTAATGGATAAAATGCACGGATTATTATTATTATTATTCCCACTCCGATCGGGACACTAGGTCCACCGTTTCCCCGCAGCGAGGCTCCCCCCGTTGACAGTTTACGTGGGCTGGGTGCAGTGGCGGACTGGCCATCGGTAAAAAAACACCGGTACCGAAGTGGGCCGGTCGGATAAGTCACTAGCACATCCCCCACTCCCCCCGTTGACAATTTACTAGCGGTACCGAAGTGGGCCGGTCGAGAGTCCCGGGATGAGTTTTAGTCCCAGTCCACCACTGGCTACATGACCGTATGATCGCCCATATTGACGCACCTAATTCCTAAACTTCTAACAGATACAACATAAAGCGATCCTTCAGCCTCATATGAGCTCTCAGACACGTTCAAAATGAAACTGTCTGAGTTGTCTGAGCTTGCTGCTGTGTGCACCATCGTGCGTTTGCATGCAGATGCTGGGATCCTGAACGGTGCAGCTGGAGCGCTGTGCCCGCAATGACGTCACACATCATTTGGCGGGACTTTAAGAATCCCCGAGCAGATCCAGAAAATGGTCAACATTGAAGGGCAGATTAATGGTTATCAAAGTACAAATATCCAAAATCAGTTCAGTAACGGTTTTCAAGGGGACAATATTTACTCAAATTGATGGGTTTGGATGATGGGGGAAACTCGTGTCACAGGCTCTTTAAAGTATATTTTGTTGTTTTCAGGTGCTGTGGCCGAAGCTGCTGTACTACCTGACCCCCCCTCAGTTCAGCAATGCCACCACGCCTCTGTGTAAGAGTCTGATCGTGCTGGGCAGCAAGAAGAAAAGTAACCAGGAGCCCAACTTCAACATAGACTTTACTGTGGAAGGTAGGGGCAATATTTACCGACCATGTACTGTTGGGATGCAAATAATCCATTATTCTGGTGATTATTTGGTCGATAAAATGTCAGATAATAGGGAGAAATACCAAAGTGATGTCTTTGACTTCCTCTTTTGCATGACATCTTACTTAAACGATTAATACATATCCAAAAAAGTTGTTCCATTTAGATACAAAGACAGTCCTAAAGAGCAGCTTTGAGAAAGTTACCATTCTTATTGTTCTGCATGATCACAACATCAAGTAAAATGTGTCTTCTCTGTCCTCCAGTCAATCTGCCCTCTCCTCAAACACTAATGGTCAGGCTGCTGGTAAGTAAATCCAACTCTATAACTAGAACACATTTCTTGTAACTTTATATGGAGCCAAACTGTCACATCTTTTTGTGACTAGAGTTTAAAGCAAAGGCTTACTGAACATCCAGTCATAAACAGCTGAAGAAATAGAAATACATTTAGTATAATATAATGAAATCCAGGGCCTGTGTTAGACAACTATTTGTCATGCCTAATAATTATCATCCGTTGTCGAGTCTGAAGTTCACACATTTTGACTTAAAATATTGTAATTTTAATATTTAAAGCTGTTCTTTCTGTATATTCAACATACAACAGGGATGAAAAGAGTAATATACTAATCCTACTCAAAATGTACTTAGTAATCTGAACACCCCTGTCTGGTATTTGTGTGTCTTTGTGTGTGTGTGTGGCGGTTTGTGCTGCAGGTGAATGCAGCGTTCCCGTTCAGCAGCAGAGGTCACGGAGCTCCCTCCCTCTCTCTCCTTCAGATCCTCAGCATCAACATCCACCCCAACACAGAGATACTCTGGGAAAAAGAGATACCTCCTCTGCTCTCCATTTTAGAGGGTATGAACATATGTGAACATGATCATTTCTATGTTTATATTTATGAAATAGCTTTGAAGGAAGCCTGCTTTCCTGTAGGAGAAACCGAGTGGATACTTGCTGTGCTTTTTAACAGCGTTTACGCATATGTAGGGTGCAGATGTTTTGGGATCCTTTCCCTTTTTCTGTCTCATGAACATTAGTTTTAGTCTGCCTGTGTGTGGTTTGTTTTCAGAGTCAACAGCAGAGAGCCTGGATAAGAAGCAGTGGGGTGAAAAGTTGCTGAAGGTGGGCTTGTTTACTCTATATGAGAATATTATCCTAAATATACTTTGCTCATAGACAGCCCATGTCTGACTAAAGATTCAAAAATGTTCCTGGAAAGATTGTTTAATTGAGTAAACATTACTGTCTGACTCGATTAAGTGGATTTTCTTCTAAATTCTTGTCTCCAGCTCTTGTCTAAGACGCTGTCTACTATTGATGATGACAAGTGGGTGTGTCAGCTGGCAGCAGAGGCCACGAGATACCTCTCGACATATAACAACGCCTTGGAGGAGAAGGTAAGAGCTTCAGCTTTTTTTTTTTTTTTTTTAACTTTCTTTTATTGATTTTTTCACAAGGTACAATTACACACAACAAATATTACATTTCAGAGAGAACAGTGCCTGTACGGAGACGATCTACATAGTTATCAAATATTACTTGTTCTTTTGTTATGTACCTTAACCATTTTTCCCAGCCCTTAAGAAATTTGTCTTTCATTACTTTCAACTTGTATGTGATTTTCTCCATTATTAGGATATCACCAATAATATTAACCCATTGTCTGTAGCTTGGTGTTTCCGCCTTTAGCCAGTTTTTAGTGATAGCCTTCTTTCCAGCAGCTAGGAGGATCTTGATCAGGTATTGATCTCCGACATGTACAGATCCTTCCATATGTCCCAGGTATAATACCACACATGTTCGAGGGATTCTATAGCCTAATACCTTGCATATAACAGAGTGTACACAGTCCCAGAAAGGTTGCATTTTACTGCAGCTCCAAAACACATGTGTATGGTGAGGGTCCTGATGTTTACAAAGTCTCCAGCATGATTGTTGAGTGTTTGTTTGTTTTCTAGTGATTTTGGGTGTGTAAAAGAAAGGAATTTGGTTTTTCCACAGAAATTCTCTCCATCCGTGTGACTGTGTAGTGGTCTGGTGCATTTTCCACATATCATACCACATCTGAGATCCTTTCGTTTAGTTATTTTTCCCATTTAGTTTTTACATAGTGTTGAATCTGTTTTGGCTTCCATCAAGCACGAATACAGGGTTGACACAACTTTGCGAACATCATCATGGTAAGCTCGTGCAATAATCTTTACAATAGGTTGTATGTCATCTTCATTTTTCTTAACCTTTTTTGTATAGTAGTCCCTCATTTGCATATATCTGAATAAGTCTTTGTTCTCTAGGTCAAAGAGGTTTTTCAGGTCTTGAAAGCTTCTCATTTCTCCCTTCTGGATAACCGTGCATATGGCTGTTAAACCCTGTTCTGTCCATTGCTTGAATCTACAGTCATAGCTTCCTGGTTTGAATCCTTTGTCATAGGCTATCCAGTCTAATAGTCCAAGTTCCCTTCCCAATTTCAATTGTTTAATAATAGAATACCATTTTTCTAGTGTAAATGTTGTTATTGGGTCTAGGTCTCCCTTTTCTTTAATATGGGGAGGTATTTCTCTTTGCCCTATGAGTGGTTGAATTGGGCACTCATATGTAAGTATTTCGATGTCTTTCCAGCGGGCTATATAATCGGAGTTTCACCAGTAAATGAGAGGACGTAGTTGTGCTGCATGATAATATTCCTTTAAGTTTGGAAGTGCCAGTCCCCCTCTTTCTTTAGGCAATTGCAGTGTGGTATATCTTATCCTAGGTCTTTTACCCCCCCATATGAATCTTGATATAAGCTTATCCCAGCTTTGGAACTGAATCTGCGGTATATTTATCGGCAAGGATTGAAATAAATACAACAAGCGTGGTAGAATATTCATTTTCACTGTATTTATCCTGTCAATAAAACTCATCGGGTAAGTTGACCATTTTTCTAAATCTTTCCTTATATCTTTGTCAATACATTCATAGTTGCTTTGGTACAGCTTTGCTACATTTTTGGTTATGTTTATTCCTAAGTATTTAATTGATTTTGCTTCCCAGTTTAAATGTAATTCTTTTAGTTGTTGATTTGGAGCGCAGTTAAACATAAGGATTTGAGTTTTAGATATGTTTAATTTGTATCCTGAATATTCACCAAATTGTTCCATAATTTGCATTAGCTTTATAAAGGAGCTTACTGGATCTTTCAGCATGATCATGACGTCGTCTGCGAAAAGGCTAATAACATGTTTTTGTTGCCTAATTTCTATTCCTGCAATAGCACTTTCCTGTCTGATCATTTGGGCTAATGGTTCTATAGAGCAAACAGGGTAGGGCTGAGACAGCAGCCCTGTCTAGTTCCTCTTTCCAATGTAAATCTGTCTGTTAGTGAGCCATTAACTTTAACTCGAGCTGTTGGTTTGTTATAAATAGACTTAATGCATTTAATTGTTTTATTACTGAATCCAAATTTCTCTAATGTTAGATATAAAAATTCCCAATTGACCCTGTCAAATGCTTTTTCCGCATCGAGACTAATCAGTGCTGCTGGTATTTTATTTTTTTGTATTCTATGTATGATGTGTAACGTTCTTCTGATATTATCAGCTTCAGCTTTTTCACCTACAAATCAAACAAGTGAACTCAATCTATTGTTTTGTCCCCAGTAACATAAAATAATTTGACATGGTTTTGTTGTTTGTCGTGTTGCTAGGCCCTCACAGTGAGCCTAATTTAGAGCTTCATGTTGATCATAATAAAACTCAAGATGCCGACTGTGTTCAGTGGTGATTCCCATCCTTTAAGGCTCATGACCTCCTCAAACAAAGCTATGCCTCTTTATGTGAAGGGGCAGGTACAATAAGATGTTCTTCTCCCTGCTCCTTTCCACCATGCGCTATAGAAAAACAAAAGACCAGTACAAGTGTACAAGTGTACATGTTTTGTTTTAAAATAACTGCCATGTGTGGAATAAACAAACAAATGACATAACAGCCCCTGAGGTGAACAGTTAACCTGAGTGTAGAGACTTAATGCTGTTTATTTAACAACAGTAAGTTAAAGATTATTTTAAATGTTCAGTAAAGAAAAATGAGATGAGAACTGTCGATGGTGAACATAATATTAGACTAGAAACCAGCACTGATCACATTTAACATCATATATGTAATTACAGTAATATAATTTGTATTTTTCATTTTCTCTAGAGTTTCCTGTATCAATGTATCGGAGTGACTCTCAAACAGTGTTTCAATAAGGAAGTGGTTAAAAAGCAGCTGCAAGAAATGCTCCTCACAGCAAAACACAGTGATGCCATCGAAAGAGAGGTACAAATGTCATACGAGGATTTCTCCTGTGTTGTGAATTTGATATAAAAATGAGCATTTCTCAATGATTGCTATTACATTTTCATGCCTGGACTTCTTGTTTCTGTTCTCTCGATCTGTCAGGGAGTTGCAATGGGGGTGGGTCTGTGTGCCAACAGCCACTTAGAGGGAACTCTGGCCAAACTGGAAGAGTTCGGCAAGTCGGACGCCTTCAAGAAGTCCCCGAGCATCTTCAACCTTCTCAAAGTACAATAAACATTTATCATATATCCGTCATGTGAAGATCCTGTTGTGTAACTGCTGGTGTTAAACACGCTTCTGTTGTCTGTCTTCACTTTCCTTTCCTCAGGAACGTAACGATGTCGAGGTAGAGAAAGTGAAAAGCACATTAATCTTGTGTTATGGTCATGTGGCGCTGAACGCACCACCGGAGAAGATACTGACTCGCATCGATCAAGACATCCTCCGCGCCATCAGCAAACACTTCAATACCAAGGTAATGTACATACAAAGGTAACATGACTTTGTTATTAAAGAGACACAAACTTGCAAACAGGGAAGAATGACACTGATAATGAGGACAAACAAGGGTTGAAGTACAGAAAATATTGTAATAAAAGCTACTTGTTAAATATGATAAACAGGTCTGATTGCAATTCAGAGTTAAAATAGTTTTCTGTTTTCCAAATGGATCCATAGTTTGAAACTGTACCATTTATAATATCAGCTCACTGATTGGTCCTCTATGTTTGCTAGTGGGCGGCTCATTTTAAGACTTTTTCAATGTTGTCAGTTCAGGTTTGTTGCTTGAAGTGTTTTTCCCAACATTGCCCTGAAATAGACCCTGTGATGTCTGTCAGCTTGTTTATTTAAACCCATTTCTTTATGTGTGTATCTCGCTGTGTTAGGGAGCAAATGGTGACTTTTTCTTAATTTGGAGAAAAAAATCTAAATAATGAATGAATTATATTTTTATTTAACACCTAAATAACGAAAACATTACTTTATTGGGGTAAGCATTAAATCCAGAAAAGCAGTCTGCATTTATTTTTTAAAAATATGTCCAAACATGCTTTATACCTTGTGAAAATGTTCCTCTGTTGAATGAATCCCTATAGCAACGGGGAGGCAGCAGTTAGTATGTTGGTAAATCTGCAGATTTCAGAAGTAACACTGTCGTCCGCTGTGTTGACTTTAGTTAAATCACAAGTAAAATGATGCCATTCTCAAAAACAGCCACACACGCACCTCTGCACACATCACCCAGTTGAGTTATTTGTATGTGCTCTCATGACTTTATTAACTCTATTTCACACAGGTTCTGGGGATTAAAGTAGAGACAAAGGTATTGTTGAAGGAACTCCGGGGCCCTCTCTCTCTCCTTCAGCTTTCTCTGTCTCACTTGCCAGTTAACTTTTCTTTCTTTCACCTCGCTCTCCTTCCTCACTCTTTTGTGGATTTTTCTTACAATTCTGCACATGTTGTGGTGATATTTACTAAAACTTTTACGGAAAGTGTCTTTTAGGGAAAGAATACACACCTTACTACAATGAAGTAACTGGTTTTTCCAAAAGCATTTACTTTGCTGTATATTGTATTTCACACTGGTAGAGCAATAGATTTCACAAGTGTCTTAAATATATGGTTAATTTGATGACTGTATTTTTACTTCAAACATGCACAGTTAATAGAGTTGACTGGTCAGAAGTGAAAATGCTCTTCCTTAGTGAAATATAGTTTGATGAACATGATCCAACAATCTGTGGAGTATCAAACCCCTTCAGACTGAAAAGGTGGCTGTTTAAAAGGGTCAGCATTGATTGAGAACAGTGGCTGTGATCAGTTCAAATGGCCGATCATCGCTAAAAAGAAAACAATTGAATCTTCTTTTGCAGCCACTTTTATAGCCTGCAGGAAGTGAGGCTTTGATACTCTAAGCTTCTCTAGATTTGGGTGAATGAATGAAAATACATTGCCTTCGTTACTAGATGGTGTTTCTAACCTTGCATCTAAAGCAAAGTGTGTTCCTCTGGCCGTTACTGAATCCTTTTATAATTATTTTAAATGAGCTACATTACTAGCAACATCCTCGCTACATTACTTATGTGTAAATGGGTTTGAGTAAAAAGCTTCTTGTCAAATAGACATGTTATGGTTTCATTATTTGGCTCCTTTTTAAAGAGCTGGTTTACAATAATGCTGCATTATGTATGCAGTTGTACGCTGTTAGAATGACTTACTGTTTTTTGTTTCACTGCTACAAACTGAGATTGAACTGAGATTGAAAATGAGCTTTTTATCCCAATTAAAATGAGTATAAAAATCCTTCCCCTTTGGATCCATCTCCCTCCGGTCCAGACACGGTCATTCTTTCTTTCCTTCATTGCCTGATGGTGGATTTTTGGAGTGTGAAAGGGCTTTTGTAATGTCTTGCTAAATCTTAACTGCTCTTTTGTGACTTCTTTAAATAATAGCCTGCTGGTGGTTTGCTGTCAATCGATCTCTAATCTCTAATCACACAACTCTGATTCAAGTGTCTCTCCATACAATAGGCATGGAGGATCAATCTACAATATCGCTTTTTGGATTGATTTCATTGATGGCTTTGTTCTTATACTGCCGGAATGATGATTTTGGATTGTGTTTGCTCAATCGCTTGTAGAGTTGCATCTGCTAAACTGGGCTCCAGTTGGCCTTGTTGTTTGCATTCCTGAAAATGCAAATAACCCATTTTCTTCATATTGTGAGCCTACTTGTTTGTGTCTCTCCCTATAACAGGACCTGACTATGAAACTCAGTTTGGTCCAGAGTGTTGGGCTCATAGCCAAAGCCATCAGTGAGTGTGTGAAGAAGAAGCAAGGCTACGTCTTCTCTCGCAAACAGGAGATCATCAATGTCTTGCTGGTCAGTAGTCAATTCAGTTTGTTTAACTTTAGGGTTGCAGAATTAATCCAACACTTGTTGAGATTGCAATATGGACTAGTGCAATATTCAAATCGCAGGAAGCACAATATTAAGTATATATAAGGCTAAATACTGTATGTGTTGAAAACACATTATGATATCGCAAAGATATCCCTGCCTACAGTTTGTACTTTACACACTTAACAAAACAAACTTGTTTGGAACTGATCCTCTTAAAAACTACTCCATTAACATTTAATATATCTTTCAATGAAAAATAAAAGTTAGGTTTAAAAAAAGATCAATCACTCTAACATCCTGAATGGTATTTAAATTACTTATTGTTTTAAATGGTATAGCCCCACAAGTCACAAATGTTTAATTGTGGATGAAACTACAATTTCTCTGATCTGTATTCATGCTGTTATATTTACACTATTCAGGATTTCATCAAGGCAGAGCCAGCTGACTCATTGAGGACTCCACTACGCCATCTTGTGATGACCACCTTTGCCAACCTTATGTATCCTTCAGCTTCAATGTTTATCACAAATGTCCACAAAAACAGGACATCCCATCATTTTCCAGTGTTTCATCCTTGACTTGTAGTGCTTCAGGCCTCTGGACCCTGCACTCAGTGAGAATGAGAGCTTCGAACTGCTAAAGGTGTGTGTGAACACTGTGTTCTCTCTGCCACCCGAGATACAAACTCCAGAGAAAACCAAAGACGAGGAGACACTGGACCCCAAGCAGAGAAAAGTAAGATAGAGATGTGTGCTCGCACTGTTTAAACTATTTACACATGCATTCCTCTCAAGAAAAACACATACACTTTTAAACATGTCATTTTGTGCAATATTTTTCTAATTCTGTTATGTTGTATTTCTGTGCAGGCGCTGTACAAAGACACTCTGGCTGCACTGCAGGATCTGCTGAAAAGTTTTCTGGCCAGGGACCCCACACCTGATGGCCTGCAGAACATCTTTAAGGTGATGTTTCAGACTAATCATTCAATTAAATATTTGCATTATTCAATACCAAATCCCACCACCACTATTTGTTGTGTCTCCTGTCCTTTATACCCTTGACTTGTGTTTTTAGGTTGTCTAATTAAAAAGAACAATTGGATTAGCTAGATGTCCATTGGCTGTGAAGCTTTCCCTGCTGTATGACTGCAGCACAGTGTTGTCTGACATGATGTGTGTTATTATGCTGTGCAGCACATTGAGTCGTGGTTGAGCTCCGGGCAGGACCACGAGAGAGAGAGGTCTGTCAAAGCTATTTCCCATCTGCTGGCTTTCTACCTGGACAACCTGAATGTCAAGGTACAGACACACAACACACACATCAACCCTCAGTCTTTGTCTCTCAGGTTTGATATTTAACAGCATTCTTGTAACTCATTCAAATGTGTAATGCACCTAAACAAGGATCTTATCAGTGGTAATGTTTGTTTCTTTACCAGCTATTCAAATGTACATTTTGTGACTTTCTTTTCCGGTATTTCCCGCCTCTCTGTGTAGAACATGGTGACTTTCCACAACCTTGGAGCTCTGCTGGGCCGCCTGTCTCCCCGATGCTCTGACCCTCACCCTGCTGTACGCACCGCTGCTGTGGACTGTATCTACTCCCTGCTTTACATTCAGCTGCGCTATGAAGGTACACAAATGTTTACTATGTGTGTTTTACAGTCACTGCATGAAAGTTCACGTGATGTATCCATTGTTTGTGATATAACTATGTAAAACTAGAATGTTTATTTATTTAAGACATTCCAGGAGGGTAAATTGAAACATTTGTATTTCTCACTCAACATATATAATCCAGTTTTAACCTAGATGTTTTACGTTTATGCATTCAAAAAACTAGTTTATGCAAAGCTTGCCGTTGACCCGATCTAATTTTTATTTTGTGTGCAGGTTTCTCCCTAGATTATAAGGATGAAGGTGTGGACAGTCTTTTGCTGCTAAAAGAAAAACTGGATAACCCTGACCACTCGGTCCTATATAAAACCTGCTCCGACCTCACCAAGGTAACACTCAGCACGGCTGTCTTAGACCTTCTCCTGTAGTACATGTATTCAATCCTTCTGTTTCCCTGCCAAGGAAGATATCTGTTCATTCAATATTGTTTTGTTGTTTTGCCTTTATTCTGCAATCAATATTACCTCTCTTCACTGTTTATGTCAAGATAGTAGGCAAACCTAGTTGCATCTTTGTGTGTGTCAGGTGATGAGCAAGCGCCTCCCTCAGCAGCAGCTGACCACGCTGGTGTTCATGTTGTTTGAAGGGCTGGTTGACAGTCAGGCAAACTGCTGCAGAGCCTCGTCTGTCATCCTCAATACTCTGCTGAAGAACCGAGGAGGAGGACTGCAGGAGCTGGTAGAACACACACACACACGTCACACACACACACATATGTCACACAGGCCTTTGTTGCACCAGCTAATTCATTGCCTGTTTGTATGTCAGGTCCCAGAGATGCTGGAGGTGCTACATGTGCGTCTGCAGAACATCACAGAGGAGCAGGTACCAACTGACAGTGTTTGATATTTAGCATAACGTGAATATTTTTTATAAATGTTTAGCTAATATGTGAAATTCTATCCAATCATCAATGAGCTATCCCTGCTAATCTGTTTCTTTGTACCCATGCTTAGGTGCGAGTGGCAGTGGGACAGACGGTACTAATCCTGGCTTCTCAGCATCTACAGACTGTCGTCAATACACTAGTCAACCAACCACTGCCGTATGACAGGTATATATATCATTTATTATATGTTTTGCCTTTGTAGGACAAAGGATTTCTCACATCTCTTAGAGCTAAGAGTTTATTTTTTAAATGACTTTTTATTTTTCTCTCTGTCCAGTTGGACCAGTGAGATGTGGATGGCCTTGGGGGCGGACCCCATCGTAGCCAATCAGATCATGGAGATGGTGATGGAGAAGCTTCTCATCATGGCGCCCTACGTAGACCAGAGGGACTCAATGATGAGAGGAGGGACGACGAAGGTGGCAACCAATCAGCCGCTCGCAGTGAGTCTCAAACTGAATACATCGTACTGCATCAAGCTTGAGATAAAAATTCAGATTTATTTTATCCTACACAATTCCCCTCAACATAAATATGAAAGCAATGCTATTAAAGGGAAATGTTTAAGTAGCAAAAGAGGATGATTCACATATGTTTGCATGTGTTTCTGTCTTTTCTCTGCTTCCAGATGACATGTGGTCTCAAAGAGCTGTTATTAAATGGCCAGAGTCAGGAGCCGGCACTCAGCCGGTTCCCTCAGCTCTTCTCCTGTCTCACTGTCCGACTGGGAGCAAGTGTCGGGGTCTCGGCACCGAAGGACAACAACAATAAACACACTGCCTCCATCCACGTAGCAGGGTGGGCTTATTTTTCTCTTTAGAGCTGGTCAAATGTAAATGGTATTGTCTGTTCAACTTGAATTTGAAGTGTGTCTGTGTGCTAACTATTAGGTGTCATTTGTTTTTGTGTATCAGGGTAGCAGCTGATGCTCTGCGGATCTTGTTAGCACGGGCTCAGTTAGATGAGGTGATGAAAAGACTGGATGAGGATAAAGCCTGGGATGCAATGAAGGAAGCAAATGCACACGTAATTGGAGTCACACTGCTGGCAAGGTACCATACACACACCAGCTGGGTCACTTTGAGATCTCAATCTGAAATGTACAGTTGATAAATGCTGTTACCGACGAGTACAACTATTACATTGAACAGGAGTCAAATCATTTTCAAAAATAAATATGTTAAGGTGTTGCTTGATATGAAAAACACCATCCTTCTGCTTTTGCACTATATCTAAAATGAGGGCTGATTTTAGATAAGAAGACCTACATTTTTATTTTATCTTTTAGATTAAAATGTCATAAAAAAGCAAAACATGTCTTTTAAATGTCTTTTTTTTTCAGTTTAAAACTAAAAGATATTCAGTTTAATTTGATGAAAACAAAAAAAGCAGATACTATTCACATTTTACAAGATAAAAACAGCCTTTTTGGTTTTTGCCAATCGATTAATCATTGCTGCTACAATTTAAATGTATGTCCTCACCAGTACTCTAGCTAGCGTTTCATATAGTCTCATAACTAGTAGAAAATGTGTTCCAAATAAATAATTCCTCAATATATAAGGCTAGAAATAAATGTGTGTGTTCGTCTGCAGGGCGATGGCTAAGCATGCTGGTCCGAGGCTGCCCTCCATCGTGGAGTGTCTGTGTCCGTCCCTAAACAACATCTACGAATGCCAGAGAGTCACCGTTACTGCTTTCTTTTCTGAGGTGATGCACTATGAAATATTGCACCTCATTTTGTTTTTCTGTGTTCGAAAGGGGCAGCTAACCCCATGAAGTGTAAAAAAATAGCCACAAATGCCACTAAAGAATATCATAACATAGGTATGACACCTCTCTTTTGCTCTCGTTTCCTGGATCCAGCTGTTAAACCATCATGTGGTGACGGAGTTGATGTTGATAGATGTGTTGATGAACAACATGATGGAGAGGATATCAGATCCCTGCTGCACTGTGCGCATGCTGGCTGTGCGAGGGCTGGGCAATATAGCCTCGGGATCACCTGAGAAGGTACTGAGCTCTCACACACACACACATACAAGAGAAGGGCTGCACAATTAATGGAGATGTTAACTAAATTGCAAAATGAACTTGGTCAATTGTAATTCACAGGAAGCACAGTGTTTGTTCAAAGTTAAAATGTTCTGAAATAGCATTTAGAATCATCATTTATTATGGAGCTGCAGAGACATACCGACCTACAAATTGTGTTCTTAAGACTTTAAAACATATTTGTTTGATTCTTGGTTCCTCTTTCTAACCCTGGCTTCCTTCTTCCACCAGGTGAATAAATATGCCAAGGAGCTGCTGGCAGCCATGAGCTCAGGCATGGAGGAGAAAGACGATCCAGGTAAAGTGACAGCAGAGTCATTTCTCATGGTGGGAAAAATGAGAAAGTTACAATAATCTGAAGTCTGGCTCTCCTGATTTATTTACTTACGTTGACAGTCCAGTGGTTTGGGGTTTCACTTTCCCTCACCACATGTTTATCTTACTCTCATTATTGATTGATTGTCATTAGTAGAAAATGTTTTTTAAGTTCTTTCTTTATCCCTCAGGTAAGCTGATCACCCTTGAAGCCATGTCAGGTCTTTCCAAAGTTCTCCTCTATCTGGACAAGAAGAACGTCCACTTATTAGTGGTCTATATCTTCATGAAGATTAAACCATTCTTGGAAAGCGTAAGTTTTGTCTAAGTTACTCAACATGTTATTTGATTACATATATTGTATGACGCCTAGAAAAATGTAAGGATCAAAGTAACTCTTTTTTGAACAGTTCTGGAAGTTTTTGCGATTACTTCAGCATAGACACTGTTTAGTTTCTTTATATTATCCAGAGCCGATGTAGGTTGGTGTTCTGTGTCTCTGTTCAACACACACACACACACACACACACACACACACACACACACACACACACACACACACACACACACACACACACACACACACACACACACACACACACACACACACACACACACACACAGCTAAATAAAGATCTTGCTTTGTGCTACTCCAGGAAAACGATGAGATCCGCTGTGCCTCCATCCATCTGATGGGAAACCTGTCCAAGTTTGGCTCAGGAGAGCCGGTCTTCAAAGACCAGATCCACAATGTCCTGGTCAGCCTGCTGTTACACCTGGTGGACCCTAACCCAGAGGTGGTCAAGGTACTGAGCGAACTAAATGAATAAACTCTGAACCTACAGGGCATACTGCTACATTGTTAAATACTGATATCTATCTTGTTTTTGCATCTGTCCAGGCGTGTAAGTTTTCCATGCGAGTGTGTGCTCCTGTGGTGGGATCAGAGCAGATCACCACCATGTTTCAGAACCACCTCCACGAGGACAAGAGCTTACACTACGGAGAGTTCATCAACGACCTCACCAAGTACCTGGTGAGACACAGACACTCAAACACATGCACAGCTGGAAAGGGGTATCCTGCAACTCCTTCGAAAATAATAAATGAATGGGATATAAAGCAGGAGGTCGGAAGTTTTCTCAGTGAAGTTAGTTGGATTTAGATTCAGGTTTTTTGATGCTATTTAACAAAAAGAGCTATCAAAGTCTGGACAAAAAAAATGATCATCTAGTTATATATGTTCAACATACACTTTATTTTTTGTGGTTCATAGATTCAGGACTTTCCCGGCATGCTGAACTTCTATCACATCTCCGTCATCCAGTTCTTCAAGAGCAGCTGGGCGGAGGTCCGGGCCGGAGCCGCCATGTTTATAGGTGAGAACATGAACATGACCGTCTCAAACTAGTGAGACTGTGTACGGACCACAGACAGTTTGTTCATGGTAATATAGTGCGACCTGATTTGTGTGTGTGTGTGTGTGTGTAGGGTTTCTACTGGGGAATCTTCAAGAGGAGCATTTCTCCCACCTCAACATGGGCACCATCACTAAAGGTGATTCACTGCACATCCTTGCTTCTTCTGTAATGTAAGGTCATTCTGTTTTCCTTCTGGTATTGACTGAGTGTTTGTCTTCAGGTTTAGTGATGCTGCTCAAAGATCCAGATCCTGTGGTGAGAGTGAAGGCTGCAGAGGCCATGGGACATTTCCACTGACACACAGAGACAAAGAGATGCATAGCAATCATGTGGTGGTAGGGCACCCCTACACAGAAAACAAACTACGATTATATATTTATGGTTTAAATAGTCAAAAAGAATTATTTGCAGTAATTAAATACAGAAACGTAATTCAAACCAAAACTATGACCAAAGCAGGAATTATGTGCTGTGAAACTTTACCAATGTTACAAAATCATTTTTAAAAAACACTGATAATTCTTATTCAAACACACAATGCACATATATTTAGCATTAGCAGCTTTGTCGAGCCTCTTTTCCCACCTAACTATGGTACTTGAAAGGAAGTGTCAATTCGTAGCTATATTTTAGTGACCAAAGACTGTTGCTGTATACAGATCACATTTATTTCCTGTAGTGTTTAGCGTTCAGTCTGAGCGACAATACCAGAGATATACTGTGTTCTTTCAAAGAAATCTACCAAGATGTTTCTAATGATAACATGCATGACAACATTTCCATATGTGTGGTCATACCAGCAAATACATTACAGTGTATTTAATGTGAGTTTTAGTTTCAGACAATCTCTTTTCAAAATGTTTTAGAGTGAAACACCAACAAGATTCATCCCTACACTCCATTAAAACTCAATGAAGCATTTTAGGTCTATTAAATGGATTGTTACGTTGAGTAAATGATGTTGAGGTCTATAATAGAGAACACGCTGAATGCACTAGAACTACAGCAGGGCTTTCATTTGTTTTATGTTTTGGAATTGTTTGTGAAAGATAAAAAACTGGATGGTACGATGTAATCGCTATGTCCAGCAGTTCAGATCATCTAGCAGATTTTGACAAATCAGACAGCAATAACCCATCAGTAACTACCTTTTACTTTTATAACCAACCAGAACAGGGTTAGGACATTTAAGCTTTTTAACCCCACGGACATGTTGGTGCCAAGCTTCCATTTCCAAGCCATAAGCTCAAACTTCGCAAACTTCCTGAAGTTGGAATCATTGCGCTCCATATTTTCATTCCACATAAGACAGCTATTAGTTTAATACACACAGTTGAACTTTTGATTCTATTTCCCATAATGGGTCGGTAAGAAAGCCCTTTTTTTTGTACCCTTTTTTTTTTTTCAGTGTCATTAGTGTTTGTTGTTGCAACACTCATTTTGGCCACAGGTGGCTGGAGTGCACCACTACTCTATATTTTGAAAGTGCTAAAAGTTATTAAAATGCATTTCTGGTAAGTTCAATAACTTGCAAATACACAATACATGAAATTCTAACTCGCCTAGAAAAAAAAGTGCTGCTTTTAGACCTTTTTAAAAGATGTCCCCCTCTTGTGGGTGAAATTAATATGACAACATTAATCACTTTATACGATCTGCTTTCTCAGTTTAAAAAAATAAACTAGTGAATGCTTATTGCCATAACATTTATTTTAGGAGGGATTATACCTTTTCATAATTACAATTTAGTTTACATTTAGGATTATTTATATGCGAGGTGATCATTTTGTTCATTTTTAGACAGGCCAGCCTTCCAGACCTAACTATTCACAAACCAGTACTTCCAAATCAGAGCCGCCATGAAAAGAGTCAGTGCCAAATGTTCATTACATAATTTATAACCGGACCAGATAGATGCTGTGAAAGATTTTCTCTCCCACATGCTGTTGTTTCCATATAATTCTTCCATTAAATGTTTGACTTTGTACAGTTTCAGGCAACAGTTGTTGGTTTGCAGGCCTCTTAATATCTTACTATGTAAATAAATGTGTGAGCGTTATACTCTGTAAGGATGTTTATACATGTTACCTTTTATGTCTGCAAATTCATTCACTCGATAGACAACAAAGAGTGATGCAAAATAATCATAATGCATTTTTAATTGAATTTCATCTAGAGACAAATGTCCAATACAGAGTCAGGTACAATCAATGCATTGTTTGTTCCAGGTTAATGATAATATCTATGTCTGAAATGTTTCTGTTGCACTTTTAAGCTGTCATGTAGTCCCTGATTTAAGAACTAAAAGGCAAAAATCATAAATCCTCAATAGCAAAACATGTGGAAAGCATCTCTATATGTTTGCCATAAGATACCTTTTGGTATTCTGGTTATTTAAGACAGCAATGTTTTCCCTAATGTGACAAGTTCTTTGTGGTTAGAGAACAGAGCGTACAATAGGCTGCTCCTGGATCAGTATTCGTTGCACTAGATGTTCTACAAAACAGGGACTCGTGGCTTCTAGCACTTTCTAACACTGGCTTGGTTAAGGGGTGAATGGTAAATAGTAATAATAAATGTTATGAGTTTTAAAATATGTTATTGACTTTATACCACTGATATGATTATCTCATGTTTTTATTAACAAGTTGAATGCTGTAAATGTATGTGTATGACACATGTTACTGGACCAGAAGAGTGTGGATGTTGGCAATCAAATGTATTTAAAATGAAGAAAGAAACATATCCATCAAAAATATAACTGCTGCATTTTTTCTTTGCGTGTTAAGTGTAGTTTTCTCTGTCCACACGGGCGTAGTCAAGAGCAATGTATTGTAATCTTTCATTAAAAATGCTGTTTCAACTTCTTGATGTCCGAGGCTTTCCCCTTATGTCACAGTGTTCCTGTGTGTGTCTCAGGTGCAGTTTGACAGCAAAATAGTAAACATACAATTTAGTTTAAAGACAATAATAAGTTCATCATTGCTTGCAGCCTTACTGCATGTTCCTCCCTTCTCTTTGTTATTTGTGTGTGTTTGGACTGACACATCTGAAACAAGAACACTGAGTGTGGCGTAGCGTGAGTTTGAGACTGCCCTTGGGTTTTTGTGCCATAACAGCAGCAGTGTATGATCCACTTGAGCTGTTGAATAACCTACAGACAGACAGTAAACACAGCTATTGTGTGTTAAAGACAGGAATGATCCTGAGCCTTCATCCTGCCTGCTGTATATTGTACTGTGTGTCTGTTTCTGTTTGTTCGAGAGAGAGACACGCACTGGCCTTCACTTGCCTCTTTTATCTCCAGGTGTGAATACAGTTTAAATAGTATTTTTCATGAATTAGAACGTCTTGAATATTGATCTTACGCAGAAGTTTCAATTAAATATTTAAGAAAATGTGTGAGTGGAATGTTACTAAGTACATTTACTCAAGTATTGTATTCAAGGTACAGCATCACAGTAGAAACCAGAGAATGCAATTCCTGAAGAAATTGCTAGTGGGAATGATTTATGCTGACGCTAAACTGCTATGCTGAAATGTAATGTGTAAGAAGAAAGTGAAGAATTCAAATTGAAATTATACATGAAAACTGGGGGCTTGAATGTGTGATGAGAGAAGAAAATAAAGTAAAAAGGCTTGGAAAAGCAGCAGAATATTTGAACTAACTTCAAATCAAATCAAGTTTTATTTATATAGCACATTTATAAACGATTTTTGGTCAATGGATGGTGAATGATCTGTCGCTATGCCAACGGCATTTGATGACACCCCATAATACGCTTAGATGCGTTGATGGCTGCATCGTTACCAAACCTGTGAAGTTTTGGGCCATTTGGAGCATTTTCACTGAAGTTATGAGAAAACCGTGTTTCATGGCGAGCATTGTGTTGCCATGACAACAGCATTTGAAGAAATCTCTAAACTGTCCCGTTGATGTCTTCACGGCTGGACTGTTAGCACACATGTGAAGTTTGAGCACTTTTTGAACATTTTCATAGGAGTTATAGCGACATCGTCTTTTGTGGAGTACTTTAAAGGGTTCATGAATAGAGGGGACTTGAATGTGACATAAGAACAAGAAAATAAAAGTCTAAATGCATGTAAAAGCAGCATTTGAACTGAAAACTTTAGAACTAAAAGCATACGTCAACAATAATGTCTAAAATATGTGGAACATGTTGAAGTCAGTATGAAGTCTCCATCAGACGGAAAACAATAGGCTGAGACAGTCTGTTAAACTCCAGTGACCACGTCATTGTTTTGTCAGAGCCAGAGAAGTGCAATTCAAAATCTGGCTCCAGTCCAGCAGGTGGAGACAGGAAGCCTAGGGTCTGTGATTCCACTGAGGATGTGGCTCAAAGGAATAGTGTGAGTCTCCTATTTAATTAGCTTAAAGGGGACCTATCATGCAAAATGCACCTTTGGACGTCTTTTATACATGAATATGTGTCCCCGGTGTTCCAGGGAACTCACCAAGTGTCAGAAAACACAACCCTCTCTATTTTCCTCCTTCGCCAAATCTCTAAAAAAGTGGCTGAAACGGATCTGAAAAAAACGGATCCAGATTTCAACACTTTCCTACGTCACAAAGAGACGTGCTCTGCTTATTGGTCAACTCTCCACCTATCAGGGGAATGAGCCACGGCCACGTGCATTGCCGGGATCAATACCAACCATCCGGGAGCAGGCCAGTGAGGACACATCCAATTTTGAAGCTGTAAGTTTTTATTTAGCGGTGTTTTTCCTGATAAAGCTATCTCTAGCTTGTAGTATGTAGCATGTAGCTTTGCCGTATCAATGTCGCCTCAAACCCAAATAGTAATCGGTTAGGTGTTTATATGTTTTTGTAACATTTTATATTGTACGCTCCGCAGTCTTTGCTTTGTCTTTTATTTTAATTATCAGGCATTTGCTAACATGTTCAGACATACTGCCGTAATGGCGATCTGTGTGAAGGCTGTAAAGCCACGCCCTAGCCGATAACACAAGTATTTATTCTCCTATTTATTAGTATTTTGTGTCCTCTAAAATCATATTGAGTAAGTTATAATAACAAACGTAATCTTCTGTAGGTAAGTGCCGTTTTTTGCAGCGTTATATGTAAAAGCTTTTGTGATTGTAGTCTGTAAGAACGATCAGATATCATCGATCTGTAAGCTAAGCTACGCTACGCTATTGAGACATGCCGTTTTTTGCAGCGTTATATGTAAAAGCTTTTGTGTGTTTACTTGTTTGCGCACATGAATATAAATGGGGGTGTGTTAGGATACAACACTGTGTGTATGTATGCGAGGGGGGACACACACCACGAGTAAAACGGAGCTAAAGCCCCGTTGGTATGTTGTTGTTGACAAGGCCTTACCTAGCAACAGGCTAATTAGTGGCTAGCACTCATTACAGTCAGTCTACTGAGCTCAGCCCCTCTCCAACATATCATCTGTATTGAGTCAGAAACACAGCATGCACGTTACGGTTCAAAACTAACTCAGATTGGAAAAGGCTAAGCAAAGAGCTTTGCTAAATAGAGAGTTTTAAGCCCCATCTTTTGGGATTTCAGACGATATTTATCCAAATAGTATTTTCTCATCCTGAATACTAAATTGAGATGATTTTGTTCCAACTATGTTTTCTTCTTTACAGGCCAGCACCTCACATACTTACTAATTAGTGACAATTTGTACATCCTTTGCTATTATTTACATTTTTTTTTCTCATGGCGGAAATGAAAGACTGTACCTGGCAGCCCTGCACTACAATGAAAACGCTGAGCGTGCACAAGCCACTACATCCCCTGGAAACCCTCTGTATAAACTGCAGTTCCCAAAGGCCAGGAAGGGAGAATGCAGAGCAAAACCAGTAAAGACTGACCCCACATTCCGTAAGTGTTTAAAATATTTATTATACAACTATTTACAAATATAAAATTAGAAAGAACTTTCAGTTTTTTACATGCATATACTAATCTAAACCACATTTTTTGTTGTGCTTTTTTTTTAACATTGCACAGGCTACGTGGCCAACTTGATGGACCTCATCTTCGACCAAGTCTTTGTGGACCCTGCACCATTATGAGCGACCTGACAGGGACGAGGTCATCGCCGGGTATGCTACACGGTTCAATTTGGCTGCTGTCTGAACCCAACATCGACATTTTGCGGATCAGGAAACTCCTGCCTCCTTGAGGACAACGCAGACCGGAATCACCACTCTGATCCTGCGTCCAAGGAAGCCCCAGCACCAGCTCACAAAGCTTCTGTAGGCTAGATACCTGTGACGCCTGAAATCATTAAAAAAAATATTTAGTGTAATTTATACAAAATACAAGTACATTTCGTTTTTTTTTATGGGTTCAAAGAACCGTTGATTTTGACAATAAAGTTCAGAGTTGATATCAAATGTGTCGTGATTATTCATGTTTGGATGGGTAAAGAATATTCTGATTTCAAAAGCATAAGGTTGTGTGTGGACTTTTTTTGTCGTACACATGGGTGTGTTATGCCATTGCTGTGTAATAATATATATATATATATAATAGTACATGTACAATGAAAGATTGCATAAAGCCATATACACCAGTATTTATTTCCATGAACAATATTAGCATTCGTTTTACACTTTCAGTCAAAACAAACAAACCACTCACTGCTCTATTTGCCTCAACTGTAGTCCACCATGTTCAGCTCTGTAAATATTAAATGCATTCTGCAGGAAGAACACATTCAGGCACACAGGCTCCAATCCAGGATGGTCCACCACAGGTTATAGAGTCCTCAAGTTCCTGCATCCATCTTGACACCTAGTGTGATAAAGATATATTGAATGACATGTTAAAAATGTATTCTCTAAACAGACAACTTAGTGAAGCTATCAAAAATGTTACCTGTGGTATCTCCATGCAGCACACATTCTCCGTTCAGAAGGCATCGTGGCGCAATTTGCACATGTACACCTGTAGAAAGAAGTCAATAACTGAGCTTTTAAAAACACATGAAACTACACACACTGCTGACAACTGAGGTGTTGTTGGAGTTATACTTTTTATCACCCTAAGTTATTGAACTTTCCAACGGTTGTTGCACGATGTTGGAAGAAAAGGACTAAACTATTAATAAACGCAATGAGGCCATTGTATATATGCTGAAAATATGAATGTCTCCCTTTATAAATATATATATGTATCGCTGTTTTTGCGTTACAAGCTCTAAGTTATAAACTGTACACATAGCATTCTTGCTAATTAGCCAAAATATGAACGGAATAAGTAGCACGCATCGTAACAGAGTAAAATAAATAGGAACAACAGCTTGTCAACTAACCATTCAGAAACGTCCTGCTGCAACCGAGATGTTTCCACCTCCACCAAAACCTCCGCTGCTTCAGGGTCAGTCTCTGGATCAAATTGATAATACGCTTGAACACATGCATTGCTCTGAGATGACATGTTTATTCCACACTCGTAATCACAGCAAGCATGTTAACGTGACTCTCACCGGCTCATGCCCCCCTCTTCTGCAGGGGGCGTGGTCAGCTGCTGCTCAGAATTTTCAAAGACAGGCTTGGAAAAGAGCGAAAATGAGCGAAACGAGGCATGGCTAAAAAATGATCTGTTTGGTATTTTGAAAAATAAAATGTATAAATATACCTTATATAGGTATGGTCATACACTATATCATTTAAATATAGCATGATAGGTCACATGTCATGGCCATTTCCACTGATCAAAATTCCATTGTTGAGGTCTACTAGATTTATACTGTGCAATTTTCCAAACTCACATTGGTTTCGCATACAGCATCTCTGTAAACTACGTGTATTCACTCTCTCCACTAAACGGCTCGTTGCAGCCAGAGCCATATAATAGAAG